GGGGGGAGGGCCCCTGAGGCGCGCCATGGCCCAATCCGAGGGTGACGTGCAGCAGCTGGGGGCCGGGGCCACGCTGCCCGTTAGAGGAACCTGCGCCAGCCTGGAGGGGGACGTGTGCTACTACAGCAAGAACCTCCTGTCGAGTTCTTACGAAGGGCGGCACCTGCGTCTCTAGGATAGCTACTGTGGTAAAGAGAAATCCTGAGATGACACGAGAGGAAAAACGGAAAAAATAACTGAAACTTATAACATTGAAGTCCTCCATTTCTTGTACTCTTTCGTCATGGAGAGCGTGTTGCGCGAGACTGCTATCAATCACAAGCTTCAAGAGCCCGTTCATGTTTACGAGATGTTGTGTCCCTGGAATATTATATGTATTATTCACTATTCAATTTTGCCTGTTCAAGTACTTACACTGAAATTGTATATGTAAATGATGTGATCCAGTTTTATGGAAGAATACCAGATAAATGTCAGAGTGACTGGCAGATGAACCTTTCTAGTCGTGATGGAAGTTGGTAACGAAGATACCAACGACGATAAGTGTGAAGAGAAGCATTTCTGGAAGTGCTTCTGTCTCTAGGTGTTTATACTCTTGGTAGAATCGAGTGCTATAAAAATAACAAACAAACGTTAAGATCCCCTAGCAAATAGAGTTGCCGTGTATATATACGCTGGTTATGATTTGTCATTGGCCATGAGATTGTGATTTAGTGCTTTGGTTAACCATTATGCTTCAGATTTTTGTATATATACTTGTATGTATGTATGTTTGTATAAATTTTATTACTGTACATATCAGACAGTTTTACAGTTGTATTTTCAGTCTATCTGCGCTAGTCAAAAGACACATCTGCTGGCTCTTACGTCTGTGTTGATCGGCATCCTTAGATTAAACATCAACGGAAAATACACGTCTAAATTTACGATTAACTGCAGATTATGTGTATCATGATGTGCTAGAATAAGGGCCATAGTTGCATAATAGTGTATCGTAAGACCTTTTTTCATGATTTTTAAATAGATTTTATTGGAAGCGAATTAGTGTAAATATATATAAAATATAAATATATATATCTTTGTTTCATGCAGACGGTATGGTTTTCACAGTTGAAATGTTTTTTATATAGAGAATTTACCAAACTACTCTAATACGAAACGAAGTTAAATCTAGTGACCCACATTACAGCATTCTGGATCTGTCGCTGGATCTGCTAATACGACCTGCCGCTGGATCCAACATTATCCCGGGCTGGGTACACCAACACTATCCTGCTTTAGATTCGCCATCACTTCCCAATAGAGGATCCACGAGCACTATCCAACGCTGGATAATGGCCTCGGAAGATGGACCTGCCGACAAAAATAACCTACACACGAACCACGATCAGAAACGAAATGTTTTCTCCATCATTTCTTACTTGTCATTTCTCTTCACACTGTGCATCTTGCTCCCCTCAATAGCAAACCTTTTCGCCACCAAAAGCAATACTACTTTGGTTCGCTTGTAGCCGTTACTGTACTTCCACTTTGAACAAGGTTCTAGGTCACCACATACCTACAGCTTATACCGTTTGGATGTAGCGTCAAACGCCATGGATAATAATAATTCAATATATTCCTCTAACACTGATATAAACCTCACCAACAGTGTTTTCCTAGACCTTCTCCACATAAGTTTAACCACCGCTCCACAAAGTACACTCTTCCTCTGAGGATACAAAACACAGACACATTGAAATAGATAAAGGAGGATCCGACACTATACCCGTGGATCCAGCACTTCCCCTGAACGGTTAAACTCAATAAGTGATTTTCGTTTTTTCGTTGAACGGAGGTAAACGCCACCTCTTTTAGTTCTTACTGTTTGCTTTGACCGTCACCTGGCCGTCGAGTCACGCCTGGCACCCGCAAGAGAGGGATTGTCGAAGGGAAGCATCACGCTGTCCAAAAAAAGAAAAAAAAAGAAAGAAAAAAAAATATTGCGCCTTACTCTTACACGAGATAATCGCCGACGTGTGGAGCGGGTTCGGGTTTCGAGGACTCGCGGTTCGAATTCCAGTTGGTGTGCGTCAAGAACTACACTGATTTTGGAAGCGATTTTTATCCTTTATGGCCTGCATAATAGTCGCCGATAACATCTGTTCAGAAGACATTGAAAGGAATGGCCATTGTCACGTCGAAAATGCCTTTCTGCGGTCGTATCACAAGTTCTATTATGTGGTGAATAGTGTCTTCTCTCTACGAATTAATGCTTAAGATAACGTGATTGAAAATTGTACTAGCATAATATTAACTTTGTGTGATGTGCGAGTGACGGCTTCCCGGCCCCCTCCTTCGGGCTCCAGGTCTCCAGGGCACACTAGTGATGGATTATTTTGCATTCTTTAATTAACACCGTGTATAAGGGCAATAGGCAATGTTAGGCCTGTAAATACTATTAGATGTTTCATAACTCAAGATTTCATTTGTTGATAGAGTGGACACTTGTGAGATGCTAATAGATTTAGGTGTATATAAGGTAATACGAATGCTATGATAACTTAATGTTTCCTGTGATAAAGCTAACCTTATTGATCGTGTCTGTGGCAGAGGCAACGAACCTGAGCGTCAGTCTGTCTTTTTCGAACATTTTTTTTCTCCCTATCTCTTTCAAAGGCACAATGGTGCGTGCAGTGATTTCATTTCGATATTTTTTCCTTTATCGAGCCGCAACCTTCGTTGTTATGATTTGAAATTCAATCCGTTTTAGCGTCGTCATTAAAAATATATATGAATGTACTCTTTTCTCTCTCTTCTTTTTTAAATGCTTAACAAAAGGAAAAATTCAATGTTTATTCCTTTAAGCTGGCCGAGGTTACGCTACAGCTGCAGACGTAACGTTACAGCTGGTGAACTTATGAACCAATAACAAGCAATTGATGATCAGCTCTATGACTGCCCGTTACAGCCGCGTCAGGTGTCTGTCTTTCCTGTGGCTACCGTGTCTTACATTGATTTTTTGAGTGTCTAGGAAAGCAGGTATGCCAAGGCAGGAACGAACCCATTTTCTGTCACGTTTTTTATACAGGTCTTCACGTTTAGTAGAGTAATCACGTGTATGGTGTTCAGCTACGAGGCATTATTATCTCTCTTTGATTTCCCTCTTTATCTGCATCTTTCTCTTAACCCGAAGTGTCTTGTATATCTCTTTAACAAAAGGAAAAGAAAAGGAAAAAAAAAATCTAATGCCCCCGACCCTTCTACCGCGCGTTATGTGTTTTATGATACACACCTTGTGTTTGTTTTCTTTGTCGATGTGCCATAAATACTTTGTTTTTGGGGGGAGAATATGTGTTTGTAACTCCCTGACTCGTACTGCGCGTGGCATCGAGGAGGAGGTCCGTGTGCGGGCGCGACAATCTGTTCCCGCGGCCGCGTTAATTGCTCGCGGGAAATAGCGCTGACAATTTTACAAATGATATTTTTTGATGAGTAAAACAAAATAAGAAAGTGGATATCTGGATGTATATGATACTAAGTTGGTTGTCATTGTCTTATTTGCCTCTCTTATATAAAACCAATGCCTCTTCACCATGCAATGAGTTGATTGGGTTGCTGTAATTGATGAAACACTTTACATAGTGATAGCACATCTTGCAAGATGGGAAATAAAATTTTGTGGTCAGTAAAGGAAATATTCGTTTGTCTTTTTCGGAATTCAAACGTTCTTGCAGGATGCAGTTTATTGGCTTTCTACGAATATGATTCTTTCCCCCAAGAGATTTAGTGTAAATAACAATGATTTGTGTCGACGCATTCACCTTCGTTGGAGGAGATGATGAACAATAACAATAACAAATCGAGAAGAAAAGATAAAAATGATTGCTCGGGCTTTGTTAACTAGTTCGGAAATGCATAACAATATAAAGATTACCGATCGCTGCGTCACTTTTTTGAGAGTTTGTGCCTTGTACGACGTCATCGCAAGTCGCTTCAGAACTTTATAAAACAATAATCGATGAACCCAGAGCCCAGGAAGCCCAGACGCACAGGAGCTACAGCGAGGATAGCACTTTCTTCCTCATTCAAGTCTGGATGTGGCTGGAGTCGTTCCTCATATTTCCTTCCGCTTCTTAGCATCTTTGTTTCTTTTCACTTTCTTGCTCCTCTTCTTCCTCTTCATTATTCTCTTCTAGTTCTTCATTTACTATCATTTTTTCCTCTTCCTCCTCCACCTTCTCTTTCTCCTCCTCCTCCTCCTCCTCTTCTTCTTCGTCCTTTTCCTCCTCCTCCTCCTCCTCCTCCTCCTCCTCCTCCTCCTCCTCCTCCTCCTCCTCCTCCTCCTCCTCCTCCTCCTCCTCCTCCTCCTCCTCCTCCATCTCCCACAGCTCCAAAGGAGGCTCAAAAATAATAAGGAAGAAAAAAGAAAAGAAAAAATCGCCACACGAAGCTGGATGCGTCGACGCGGGGATCCTGCGGGGGCGACGTGAACTATATTTAGATATTAAACAATCGTAAGTGGCTAATAGATAAAAAAAAAAACCATAAGCGATTATCGGAGCCAGCTCTCTTTTCAGTCGTACGTGGGACGCCAATGGGACTCGCGGTGTCAGTTCGCCCAGGCGGGGAGGATAGCTCTAGGAACTCAAAAACCGATAGATAGCGTTTTCTTTTCGGGGGAGAAATGGCTCAAAAGATTAATGTCGACACAAAGAGGCTACCTAGTGGAATTTTCATGCTCAAATGACTTTCGCAACTTGGGGGGGGCATTTCACGTTGGTGTCTTGTCCCTTCCTATCCCTCCCCCCCCCCTAAAAAAAAGAAATGATAGTATTAATAAAGAAATAAGTTGATAAAGACCCATATAGATATTAATACTTATTAGAATTTAAGAGCTACCTTGTTCAGAGTCTTATTGCGTCTTCACATACGGTTCAAAATGGTCGCTAGCATGGAGAAGACTAATAAACATGGAGGTGTGCTACGGTGATTTGTAAGACATATCTCATTTTGTTGTG